TACGAGCCGCCATCACTCCACCCAGCACTGTCACTGCCGGATCTGAGGAGATTTTATCTATTATGGGAGGGCGTGATTCATGGAGGCCCAGGCAGCTCAAGGAAAAGCGACCCTGTGACACTTTCTTCCCGCCGCTGTACACGGGCCGGCAGCTACAGAAGGACAAGTCAGTGGCAGCCGTGATAAAATGGCCTTCCTTAACTAAACTCGTAAACCACGCGGCGATAAAACTCAATCTTCTGTAAAATCCAATTAAGTCATTATCTGACTGATTGTATCTTTAATTGAAAACAGAAGTGACAGTAAATTTCAGTGATATATCAGGATCAATCGATACTGCCGTGCAATCTCAAGAGGTGATTTATAATGTCAAAGCCTTATAGGTAACTCCACATTCTTCTCTCTAAAACCACTGGTGGATGAAATTAAGAGTAAGTGCGTTTCATAAAAAAACAAGACGGTCAGGTTATTGATTACAGCAGATGGGGCAGAATCCAATGAATGCTCCAACACTGAGCTGGAAAAGAAAATACAAGTAATTTTCTTTGTCTGTTTTATATTGTTCCCAGGACGACTTCACATTTACACTCCATCACTTTACAGCACTTTTATTCTACTAAAACTTGTAGCGACATAAACATCAAAAGCGTTTGTGGCTGCCTTATTCTAAGGGAAGCACCAGTAAACGCTTTGGAAATGAATCCCAATAAATTTGGATTGGAAAAACAGAGATCCAGTCACATTAGTTTTTTAAAAGCAATACAACTGAACCATTTTTGAAAATTTGTTCTTCAACATTTACACAATTAAAGAGTTTCAGGAGTATTTTAATTAAATACCTTAATTCTGTTTCAATGTGCCTATTTTGCACAGATAGACGTAATTTTTGGGGGTTTTCCATTAAGGAACTATAGGACTTGGTACCAGCTCCTTTTGGTACCTCTTTAGCTTTGGTTCCAAACAAGCCAAGTCCTGCTGAGAATGTCAAATAAAAGCGTATCTTTGATTGGCTTCAGGGTGATGTCACAGCAGCATCCTTACAATGATAAAACATTTTATACTTTTTCTGTTTACTCTTGTCTCCCGCAGCCTTGTGCTTTACAAAAAGCCATGTATTTAGCAGTGGGTTAACCTTTCCGCTTTTTCCAGGCCCTCCTAGAAATGATGACCTCACTAAAACACTACCTGCATGCCATCTGTCCATTCTACATAAAAATAGCATTCTCTGTCCTGCAATCAGAAATGTAAACCTATGGTTTGCTAAACTCTTCTGGACTTTATCTGGAACCAACTGATTTCATCAGATGAGACCAAGGGCCTGTTTACATAATGTTTTTTTTTTTTAAGAAAATAGAATAATTTAGTTTTGTTTCTACTGTTGTTTACATGAAAACAGAGCATGCTTTCTTTAAAAATCTGAGTGTAAAGGTGTATTCAGACTGAACGCGGTGTCCGCAATGATTTCTGCGAACCCCATGGGGAGGTCGCCGCTGTGCATTTTGGGTGCTCTGTTCTTTCCCTGTGGAACGTGACATAAAATAGGAGCTTAAGCTGCGTGAAGCTGACACTCCAACAATGAAAACACTGAATGGTTAGTGTAGGTAATTTCAAAAAAATTTATAGGAATACATAAATAAACGATCATGCGTGTTACTTTCTTAAAGATTATTTTCAGGCCATCCAATGTGGTCTACTTTTTTCAGTGCTACTTTAGTACAGATGTGTGCAGGTAAAACTGTTTTTTGTGCTGCTTTGGTTTTTAGGATATAACCATTTCTAATTTCAATCTGCTCGTTCCCGAATATAAAGGTTTTGCATAACATAATATAATATGGCCGTACTGTGCTGGCACTGAATATAATGTGGGCATGTTTGCCTTATTTAATGGGTGAAATGATTGTTTCACAATATTCAGTAGTTCACCAGCCTTCCAGATCCTTCATTTTGGACCTACCGGTACCACTGGCAACTCCACAGCATTTCCTGTAAAGGTCTCACTTTAACTTTTGTTACAGCTGAAAAGTAACATTACAGAACACTGCTTAAATATGAAACACTCTTGAATTGGCCTTGGGAAACCACCAATTTTTGGAAAAGCCTGACTCTCTGAAAAAGTAGATCCCTTGGGTTCGTCAAGAGCTGCGTATGGATGATGGTCAGATTTAGTGGTGGCAGAGGACAGCAGCTGTGTGTGAGCTGGAGGTCATGGCGCTGTCACACCTTGACGATTTAGCCAGCGTATGCAGACGTCCCGGAATCTTCTAAAACGCTGGCATACGTTGAACTTTCTATGTATTTTTTTTGACATAAAAATGTCACAAGCCAGTGTCCTGAGGGGGCAGCAATGTGCCCGGAGCCACCCGAACTGCACAAAGAACACAAGAAGATTTCACTAAATTTTGCAGCCATAGCATTAAACTAGCTGCTGTTTATCGGCTGCAAAAGAAAAAACAACAAATCTACTGAGTCTGCTTGCAGTCGCAGCAGATTCAGTATCATGTCTGTATGTCTACTAGGAAGGTGGTCGGTTGTGGCCGTGGGCGTGAACGCAGGTAGGATCCATCACACTCTCCTTCACGCTCCGTATGATGGGGGAGATACAGGTTGGATAAGCTACACTACTTAACGTGTATCAACGATCACATAATTTACCTGTAACTTATTTCCCACATATGAGCATACACTGGCATGTGTCAAAATGGAGCAAAATTTCTTGACGTACTTGCAGTATGTCAACATGTCCCAGCGTTTTTGCCCAATTTTTCTACATCAAAATATGCTGGCTAAATCGTGTTACCGCGCCATAAGGGAGGACAACCAACAGTCAAGGCTAAAATAAAATGGATTTTTTAAAGCCACCTAAAATTCTCTTCAGACCATTCCTTATTTCCTCCTTTTTCAACATTATTTCCTCTGCATATAATTTTGAGTAAAAAAAGCTTTGCCTCGGTTGTACTTCTTTAGTCTGCATCACAACCAGTCCCTGATTGGTTACCTGCAATGCGATTTTCCCAGAAAAGTTACGATCTTTTAAGCAATTCGCTCTCCACGTGGTGCCGATGTTTGACAACACCTCATTTCTTTCATGTAGCACGCGGTGAGGGCAGAGCACGACTCTACCATAACTGTGAGGGATTCACTGCTGGCTGTTGCACCGCTCTTGCCTGCGTGATTTGCATAGATTTACTATGTAAGTCCACCTCTCTTTCTGCGGATACCGCATTCAGTGTACATTTTATAGCATTAAGATGAAGAATTAAATGAATTACTGTACATGCGTTCAACATGATGGCTGCCCAATGGTTTAAATACCAGAGGACCCACATTTGAGTATAAGTATCTGATTGCTAAGCAGTAACTAGTGCTGCTAATTTCTTTGACTCTAGCAACAGTTCCCCAACATTTTCTGTTCATCTATCTAGAATGTGTTGCACATTTTGTTGAGTTCTAAATACCTACTGTGGCAAGGAAATTACTTTATTTTTATCCACCATGTCTGTGGGGAATGTAAATAAAACATTGTCCTTCACAGAAATGGAAACTAACATCCTGTTTTAACAGGTTGTATAAAGAAAACAAATACGGTTTTCACATATAAACACATCCAGGTTAGGCACATCATGGTCTTTGTTATGTAGAAGGGAGGATCTTTGGTACTGTGGGCACACTTCTCTTCCAAAGATACCTGGTGAGAGTATATGGCCTCATAAAGTCATTAAAATGGCAGAAAATTGGTGAATTTCAGCTGTAAAGCTAAAACTAACCAAAACAACTCCCAAAAAAGAAAGTGCTGGATAAATAAAATCCACCATATTCACGCTATCAGATCGACACCATCAAAATCCAGATATGTAATAAACAGAGAATGTGAGCAGTAGGCTCCTCTCGTATACTTCAACCATTTTAAATTATATAGATCACTAAATGCTGCGGTAGGAACTGATTTCTTTAATTATTTTTTTTTAAAGTTTCAACATTAATTAACTTCCAAAGTAAAAGATTGTTTTAGAGTGTACATTTTATGCCTCTATATTATTAATGAAGTTGCCAATATTGTTCATTGATTTGTTTCTCCCTAAAAAAAATGATTTTCTGAAGAATTCAGCTTTCAGAGACTAAAATCCTGAAATGTTTCCCCATAAATGCCGTGTTGCTGAAGGATGCTTCTCCTCACCCAACAAGGTCGTCCCAAAGTGGGTAAAAAATTGTAAACAATAACCCGCGTGTGCAGAAAGCACGTCTGCTGTGAAGGGTTAAGTATACAATACACATGCAAATCCAGGGGAATAAACGACACCATAAATAAGAAGCTGGTGCTCATCACACGTCTAGGGAGGGAAGGGAAATGTGATTTATGTCTAACCTGCTTCCCTCTGCATTTTTTTTTTTTTATCTCCCAGCAAACAATCTGCAATAAACTTTAACCCGCAGGCAAACACTTTCCAACAAAAAAAAAAACAAAAAAACAAACAAAGACAGTGGTTGCAGTTTGTCACACTGCTGTTTTTATTAATGTTAAAATGATCAAAGGAAATTATAAAGATATCAGAAAATTAGATTACTTTGCATCACAGCATCATTACTACATGTAATTATAAATGTATTAGTAAAAAACAGAATTTCAGAAACGAAGATTAAACAGGAAAATCAAAGGACTTTATCATTCAGATTCTGGGTTTAGGATGCAATATGGTACTCACTAACAGAGGAAGAACAAGTTATTTCAGGGTTTATCTACAATGTAATAAAAATGTTTTTAATTGTTTTAAACATACATTCCACCTTATGTTTGAGTCTAATTTTGTAAGTGCAAGAGGGGCTGTGTAAACTTTCTAAGGTACTGTTCTCTGAGTATCTTTATTTTGTCTTGTTTATATTCAGTAAAATTCAATACAAAAAACAGAAAGATGCAGCCATAGGACTAAAAGCAACTAAAACTACTTGTATAAACATGAACAGAAATGATGCCTGAACTGAAGCAGGAACAACAAAAGATCAGTAAAAAGAAGTGAACTGTTAAAACGGTTGCTCCAGAAGATGAAAGCTGACCACCTTCGTCTTTTAGTTGCTGGTGTCAACGTTGATGTTGGCCGTCTGGCTGCTGGTCTCACACTCGTAATTGGTGGGAGGAAAGGCTGCAGGGATGAAACATTTTTTTCTTAGATTTTCAGTCAGAATTTATTTATATAGCTTCCACATAAGTTTCATTTAACCATTTGTATTTATTACAGCCTTAGTATTTGTGATTATTGCAATAATTTCAGCCATTTAAAAGTATAAATTCAAGGATGGCTGTGTGGCATTTATTCACTGTTTTAAAAATGAACATCATAGAACAGGCCATAATGTTCTTTAATGGCTTAAAGGTCGATTTTTTTTTTATCTGTAGTCCCTAAGGATCCCCTATAGAATACATATAAAAACTAAAATGTGAAAACTGAACACATGGCTTCTTTGGGTTCAAAATCAAACACTCCATCATGATGTGCGTTCAGTCACAACACTTTAATACCAAAGAAGAACTCTAAATTTCCCTAAATCCAAAGAAGGTTTATATTTCTGCCACTGCAGAATAAAAAATAAAAAAAAACAACAATCATGGAGGTACATTAGTTTTGACTGATCTGAGAGCCCAAAATGGACTGTCATTACTGCAGGCATTACTGCTTTCCATAATTAAGCTGAAGAATCAGCAACTCATGCTGATGCTGTCACAACGGGGTGGAGGTTTTTAAGGACCCAAATGCAGATATCAGGAGGTTTAATGAGTAACTGAGGCAAAATCCAAAAATGCAAATAAAGAATTTACCAGAAAAGATCAAGGGAAACTTTACGTGGGGAGTCAGAGATGAGGAAGCAACAAACAACAACAAGGAACCAGCACTAAGTGACTGCAGAGGTGGAGTATATAAGGGGAACAGAACAAAGGATGGACTAATGAGCTCAATAAGGAGCAGGTAAGCAAGCCAAGGGGAAAGGAAACAAGCACAAGGGGGCTACAGAGAGTAACTAAAGGCTGCTTGAATATAATGGAAAATAAACCAAAGATCAACAAAACAGAACAACTGATAACTGACAACTAAAAACTCAAGAGTCCCAAACCATAACAGATGCAGCTGTTCCCATTTTCCAGGATGAAAGGGGGAGAAAATCAACGAGCTGCCCAGTGCTGCTCCACCTCGACCACATCTACTGTAAACCTGATTGTTAAAAGTAATTCATTAAACTAAATAATTAGAGTAAAAACTCTTGATTGTTAAAAGTAATTCGTTAAACTAAACAATTAGAGTAAAAACTCTGCTAACTTAAATGTGTATAGTTAATGTAACATATTCTTTCTTTCCGACTACATTTAACTCAATTCTATGGATTATTCTGAATCAGTTGTGTATTAATTTAACATAACTTAAATAACTCAGTAAGAAACTTAAATGAAATTTAATTCTAATTTTTCTTGAAGGCAAGAATCGATTATTAAAAAAAAAAAAAATTAACTAATAAAGTACATTAATGGTTGGCGCACATCAGCCAAACCAAGTGGAATACAACTTCCAGTCCAGCAGATGTCGCTGCGGATGAGTTGACGCCCGCTGCCTTTTGTCACAAGCATTTCCGGCCGTGGAATACTGCGACGAGTCATATGAAATAAAACATGGAGGACACTATGAAAATT